TAATAATAATAATAATAATAATAATTTCTCTTCCTTCCTTTCTCCTCTGCCCTCCATCGATTCCCTTTGTTTTGAAACATTTCTTCCTATTTCACATTAACAATTATATACCTTGTTCCTTACTTACACATACAGTTTCACACTCCAGAGAAACAATGCAATACTTAAGTGTGACATATTTATTTCACTTAAGAGTATGGTCTCGAGGTACATCCATTTTCCTAGAAATGTCTCAATTGTATGCTTCATTATGGCTGAGTAGGATTAGTCCATTTTACAAAAAAAAAAAAAAACTGTATGTTTTTTGACCATTCCTCTGTTGATGTGCATTTGGGTTTTTTCTAAGATTTTCCTGCCATGAACATGGTTGTACATATATCACTGTGGTCTGATGTTTTTGATTACTATGGCTCACCTTATTTTTCCTGGAAAGTAGGGTTGGATATAAACTGATTACAGCAAGATCAAGGCTATGACTTGATCCCTCAGAGCACTCAGGGGCTTCCTCTAAGACGTCCTGATATCTTGTTCATGTCTAAGAAGGAGGGCAGCACTCTCTGGGAATGTGGGTAAAGTTAGACTTGGTGAAGTAGGTGAGAAGAAGGAGGAGGGATGTTGAAAGCAGAGGGAGATAGTGGCAGGATGGCATAGGAATGTTAGGGCACAGATCTCACCTGGAGTCTTGAGATGTCTTGCTTTTATGGGGATTAGGATCTGGGGGACACTCATCCATGTTACAGAAGCTGCTGAGAATAAGAAGAGATCAATCAGGCACTTAGTACTGAGTACTTCACAAGACTTATTTTTGTATTTTTACACAAAGTATTGGTTTTATAGTTGAATATCCAAAAGTAGATATTGCATATATTTTATAGTAGAGAAAAAGAAAAAAATGCTAAGCCCAATAAACAAAACGATCACCTATATTTCTTTTTTTAATGTGTTTAGTACAGGGTCTAAAGGGTCTCACTACACAGATCAGACTCACAGTGATTCTCCTGTTTTCAGCCTCCCAAGAGCTGGGATTACAGGCACATCCACCCTACCCCGTCTCAATCACTCTCTCAGCATAGGCGTTAAACCCAGTCCCTGTGTCTCCTTAAATACGTGTTTTAATCCACTGAGCAATCTGGCTGGCCCAAGGTCATTAATATTTTCACTATCCATTAGTAGTCACTGGGGAAAATTAATCATGTAACTACAAGATATTTTCCAAGTATTTTCATCTATATACCTATGCATCTAGCACTGTACCACTGAACAACAATGGTAGCTCTTTCATGATAATTACTTTACTGGAATAAATTTGAACTAATGGAGATTCTGAAACAGAAATTTTTCTGGAAATGTGAGGGTCTTCCCAACAGTTTGGTTGTTGTTGTGAGCATATGACACACACTTCCAATATTATTTCCCTTTCCCAGCTCTCACACCATCCCTTTAAAGTGCTCTTGGGGAAACAGTACCCAGAGAGAGCCAGAAAAACAAAAGGGAATATGGTAGGCTGAAATACTTACTCAGCAACAACTTTGGGATAAAAACAAACCTCAACCCAGCTGGTGCGGATTATGTTCAGCTACCTTCCACTGCATTTAGACACTGAATTTGTTATAACAGATAACACCCATTTGAATACATTGATGGAACTGTAGAGTCTTTTTTTAAAAAAGACAAAGAGAAAAATATCGAATTTTACAAGACAAGAGGAAAATAACAGTGGCTATAATACTGAATATTGTGGTGTTCAACATATTTGCTCAGCGCCAGGGAGGTAACTCAGTAGAATAAGTGCTTGCCTGGCAAGTGCAGGGTCCTGAGTTCAATCCCCAGTACCACAAAAAATTGCTCAGGTTACAAGCAATACACAGGTAAAATTGATAATATATAAGTACTGACCTTGCCTTTCAATAAACTAATAGAAATTTGTATGGCAATTATCTTAGCTATTTTGTATATATTGTGCAGGTCAGTATCTTAAGATGAATGGCCAGGGTAGAAGAATAGGTAGAGGTAACCTCAAAGCATAAGTGAGTCACTTACTGTACCCTTTGAGAATTAACTTTCACTCTTCTCTCCCCTTCCAGGTACTATCTCCCCTGGCTAAGAACCTCTTCCACAGGGCCATTTCCCAGAGTGGTGTAGTACTCACGCCTAGTTTGTTAAGCAAGGATGCCAAGCCTCTGGCTAAGGTATGACTCACACTACCCATATAATGTATATATTTTTACCCTGGACAGATATGGTATATTCTCTGCTCTACTGGAATGTACAATGGTGTTTCCTGCTGTGGGATTCCAAGGGATAATGAGATGCTGAAAGGATCACTGAAGTGAGAATAGCTGAGCAAGAAGAGATACTCTAAAGCTCATATTTAATCTTATTTCATACTGTGTAGAATATCTATCAGTGAATCCTCTAATCAATGCGTCCTGCAATTCTGTATAAGCATTGCTCTGTGGGAGACAGGACACACTTTATTCAGGACATCACCTTCACTAAGCCTGCAAGAGCAGTACAAAGATGACTCTCAGCTACGAAGGGGAAAAAAAGATACTACAATGCTTTGTGGCTTGCTGAAGATCACACAGCCAGGAAGTAGAGGAGTTTGAATTTGAAATAAGGCAATAAATTCTTGGATGCAGGCTTGACTTCCATGCCAAAGAACAACTCTTGAGATATTCAACTTCCAGAATATTGTGCTTATTTATTAACTACTTATTTGTGGTGCTGGGGATGACTATTATGGCTATATCAACAGATCAACTAACAGTGATGTATACATTGTGTCACCAGATCATGCCCATTAATAAATTAAGCAACAACTCTGGGATAAAAACAAATCTCACCCCTACTGGTGCAGATTATGTTCAGCTACTTTCCACTGAATTTAGACACTGAATTTGTGATAGCAGATAACACCCCTTTGAATACATTGATAGAAGGACTGGACACCACCTTGAAACTCTGCTGTTACTTGTCATCATTGCAGAAAATTGCTGTTGCTGCTGGGTGTAAAACCACTTCCTCAGCTGTCATGGTTCACTGCCTGCGCCAGAAGACAGAGGAGGAACTCTTGGAGACCACACTGAAACTGGTAGGTGTCTCTGTTCCTGTGGTAACTGTGTACTTGATGCTAGACTTTGACTCTTCAGCTGTTCTCTTGCCTTGGTTAAGCCATCTAAGATAGTTTCTCCTTTTCAGCAGCAGAGTTAGGCTACTGATCCAAACTGGGAGTTTGATTTCTACCTTTTTTTTGTGGTACCAGGGATTGAACTCAGGACCCTGTGCTTGCCAGTTGAGCACTTATTCGACTGAGCTATCTCCCTGGGCCCTCCTTTTTTAAATTATGAAGTAGCACAGATGTGAAAATATTCAACACTAATCATATGACAGTCTACACAAACTTTTATGGCTTTTTCTACTGAAGTCTTTTGACATTCATGTTTTCAAATATATTTTAAGAAATTGAATGCTGTATATATCTGTAAGAACTACCATTCTCAATTTGGGCAATAAGGACATTCAGTACTAAGATTTTTAGCAAAATATCACACTTTATCTTCATTTATTTACAAGCTGTATAAATAAATTATACTTATATAAAGAAACTGTATTCATTTATATACAACATTGGTCAAATTTCTGCACTTTTTGATAACTGACAAAATTAAGATAGCCTAGTAAGTTGAGAAGAGAATATTACTTTGGACTTCTATCTGTTTAGAAATCTCCTATAATATCAGATTTTTAACTTCGTTAATTTTGTCTGTCAATTAGACTGAGCCTGGCATTCTGGGTTTTCTAGTCTACTTTTCTATCTACATCCATCCATCCATCCATCCATCCATCCATCCATCCATCCATCCATCCATCCAATCATCCATCTTTTCCATCTATACATCCTTCTAACCATGCAATTCATTTGTAGTTTTTCGTCAATCAGACATTTATCCGTACATATTATTTCCTTTGTTTATTTCTACTCTGTTCATCTCAATGCATCACCAGCTATATGTTAGTTCTCTCTCATTCCTGAAACAAAAGTCCTGACACCAAAAGTTAACACTGTTTAACACCTGAAGTTAAAAGAGAAAAGTTTTGCATATCTCACAGTTGGGAGAAGTTTCAGTTAACAATTCATTGATACCACAGCAGAGTGGATTGGAAGACAGGCATTACTGAGGAGAAACAGTGCATTGTGGGAAGAAGGTAGCAAAATAAGCAAGAGACAAGTTTATTTCTGTATCTTCTACTCTATCAAGGCTACAAGGATTATGGTGGAGCCAAAACAATCAGTAGAATGATGCTAAAATCTTTAATTCTAACATTGTGTAGTGTATCAGCTACCTCTGAAAAAAATCCTACCTGTGACTGTATGAGACTTTGGAGAGACATCTCAACAAAAGCCGTAACTCCAGGGAGCATAATTCTGTGCCTTTTCTCCCAATACTCCAAGAGCAAAGACACATCTGTCATTTACCTGCTAGTTGTCCTTGGTGTATTTGTATGTCCCTTCTATTAGGTTGCATTAAAAAATATCCAGTCATCTCTGTGTTAAGTGTATTGAAGGGTGATGTCAGAGGAAAGGGGCTACACAGCCTACTGTTCTAATCTGGGAATTTCATTTTTCCTTTTAAATAATGAAACAGCAATTTATGAGTTGGCCAGACCTGTCTTCACAAAGAACTATGTAAGGAGAACAAAATCATATAGTGAGTATGTTAATTGTAGTGGGAATGCAGAAAGGAAACTTACTTATAACAGCCAGCAGTGATGAATCTCAGTGAAGGTGACCCTTGCACATTGATGGAAGGACATGACCATGTGTCATAACAGGGAAGCTTAGCAAGACACCCATCCAGAGAACAGCATCCAGGGCCCATGCAAACTACTTCTTCGTAGGGACATTTTGGTTGTGGTCTATGAATTACCTGAGTGTCTCAGTCCTCTGTCTGGATCTCAACCATGAAAGAAACTTCTGTATCATCAGGGCAAGCTGCTAGTGCTGTGTTTTGTCATTGTATTCACAGACTGACCCTAATGTGGCCCTGCTTGGGTCTGCGTTCATCATACCAACTAGGCTTAACCAAGATATCCAAGAAATTAAATCACTGCTCTTTTATAATCCTTGAGAAAAGGAAAATATTTTACTCATTCTCCATGTGGCAAAAGAGGACTCAGATTATGCAAAAATAGTTAATGACTTAGGGGAGTCCTAGAGACCCTGTGATCCTAGAACATCTTTCTGATTTGTTGTGGAAGCACTTCCATGATTGCCACTGCCTTCAGTACATACACACATGCACACACAAACACATACACACACACATGCACACACCTGGCTTATCTAACACACTTGGCTAGGCTAAGTCTCAAAATGGAGACATCTTTAGTTGTGGGTGTACACATAGGTCACCAACATGTGTAGGTGAGACCCATTAATTAATGTAGACAATTTCAGTCCCTATGTAACCTTGCAATCCTGGTGAACACAGAACAAAGAAAAGCATGAGTTGAAATGAGTATTAGTGGTTTAGTGTTAGTGTTTCCTAATGTAAAATGAAGTTAGCTTCTTTTGAAAAGAACTTGAAGAAAAAGGCATTTTGATGCAATAAAGTCTTCAGGCAACTGAAAATTTCAGAAACGTGTTATTTCTATTTGGCTGGATCTAAGATATTGTTACAAATCTATCTGTGTTAATCACTCAGCTTTTACTTACCTTTGTTAGTTTGTCACTGGAGCACATATATTACCTGGTAAGGGGAAAAGAGCATCACTCTGGGCTTCCATCTGTTTAAAATCATCTCCCATGAGATCACAGTGTTAATTTTGGTATACAGTCAATTAGACTGACCCTAGCATATATCCATCCTTGAACTAATCTGGTAATTTGGCAACATAGAAACTCAAGGTCATATATGCATATTTAAAATCACAAAGTGGCAGCAGAAGAGGGAAACAGATGAATTATGGTGAGAATGCCCTCACTGGCCACTCCATACCATCCCTTCTCCCACCAGTCATTGAACTTACCACAGTCCTACCACTCTAGTCAATTTTCTTCCACTTTGTGCAAAAAGTAAATCAACATGGTGTTGCTAGGGTGAACATCTAGATGAAAGAATGTGCTGAGGCACCAACAGAGGATGTTGTCTCAAAGAGTTCCAGCTATCTTAATTCTGGGTTCCCTGGTGTAACACTCCCCTTGCTGGTGCCTGAGCCTACCTGTCCTACTTATTGCCCTGGGTTTATGCATGGTACAACTTATGTAGTGTCCTTTTTCTCTGGTCCAGAAAAAGATGAAGCAGATTAAAAATAGGATGACTCTGGGGCATAGATGCAAGATAAGCTTTATCATCAGGAGAATTTCTCATAGCATCTTTTTTCTTTATGTTCACAGAAATTTTCTACTGCGGATTATTTTGGAGACCCCCAAGAGGTAAGAACTTTTGTTTTCCTGATTATAAGTTTTGATACTTTATACTTTTAAGCTCCAATTCACAATGAAAAAAATATGCTTTTTGGAATTAGAGTTTTGCCTTATGAATTTATTGCTGAGGCCCAGGGTGGAACATGAGTTTCTAGGGTTACTTAGAGAGTAAGATCACAGACAGGACACGGTGAGCTACCTTGAACCCAAGGCCTGTGCTCTTGATCTGCTAATTTGTGCACGTTGGGAATATCTGCATTTCCTTTCACGTTTCTTGATTTCAAAAGCTTGTGTGAATGATACTTGACCAAAATATTCTATTATCAGGAGGAGGAGGAGGAGGAGGAAGAAACTCCATAAGGGGCACATCATCCTTCACTGTGGCCAAACTTTTAGGAGGACATAAGGCTAATAATTCATGCAAAGAAGGAGCCTGGGATTATAGCTCTCCTACCAGCACCAAGGAACCCCACTGACTTCCTCCATTACCCTCTCTCTCAATTGCCTGTAACTGTGAAAGAGAAAGTGTGTAATAGGGTGTCAACTGAACAGTGTTATGAATGTAAATAGCAACATCAGGGATTGACAGAATGGATGTATTCAGCAATGTTCTTGTCACTCGGACAAAATACCTGGCACCCACAGCTTAAAGGAGGAAGGGTTTATTTTGGCTTGGAGTTTCATTGCATTGAGTCTGTGAGAGACTGGCTCTAAGACAGAAATGCCATGGTGGAAGGGCTTGGGGGGAGGACATTTCTTCACTAACTACAGACAGGAAGTAGAATGAGAAGAGTAGTGCCTGCATATTCACATACCCTTCCAAGTAACCAGTGAGAAGCCCTTCCCACTCAACCAGATCCCCTGCCAAACAGGGGACATTGACACCAAGTTGGTAATGAGGGAGTCCAGCTGTGGAAGAGGAAAGCAGCTAGCACTCAATAAGCCTGAAATAAGAGTGTTGGATGAAGAGCTAACAGAGGTTGAAATGCCTTGATGCAGAAAGCCTCTCTCTCTCTCTTTGCATGTGTGTGTGTGTGTGTGTGTGTATGTGTGTGTGTGTGTGTGTGTGTGTGTGTGTAGAGGAGGCAGTGAAGGAGTGGAAGGCTGTAGGCTTAGGTCATGGGGTCTGGGATGTGGAGGTCACTGAAAAGACTTGGTTTGTGAAGCAGCATGAGATTGGAGGTTCTCAGAAGGCTCTGAGCTCCACACCCATGTATCTTATATTTTACAGCACATTTTGTGTCCAGCTTGCACTAAAGAGCAGGAGTCACGTCAGATGATGGGGCAGCAGGGCCTTTGGGTGGGGGACAGACTACTGCAGCAGCCCAGTCACAGGATACTGGCTGATGACATCAAGGCTGGTTCAGTGAGGGGCAGATGGTGGGTGGGGTGTGGATGTATTTGAATGGAGAATTGACAGGACCTGCTGATAAACAGGGTGTGGAGTGTGAGGAAAAGAAGAGTCCCCTGACTTGTCTGAGCTCAGCAAGTGTACAGATGACTTCACAGGCCACTGGGTAGACAGTAGCATTACTAATGTTTCCTGTTTGCTGGATGCAGTGATGTCCCATGGGT